TGTCCACTTAGGTAAACAGTTTGTTGCCAAATACAATTAAAATTAAAAAATCATAAATACATTGTGTACAACTAACACAGTTGCATTCGGAGAAGCAAGTTGAGCCCTGTAGACTAGTGCTTCTGCAAAGTGAGCAGGGGTTTTCTAATTCTTTTATCTTCCTTTGATATTGGATCATTAAGGGCTAGGTTTTTTTATATATTCTCGTAGTGACCACAAATCTCTCTATTTGGATCTAGTGCATTTTCAGTGTCATACTGAAGTTTACCTTCACAGAGCTTAGATTTTAGCTCATAACATACTGTTACTGTGAGCTATAAGAAGAAAGAGATTTATGGAAAATGTTTCCTTATCTATTTTCCCCTGAGTATTAGCAGTAGAAATTTATGGTACACTGAGGATGCAAAAATCCATTATACAGGTTTTACTTCAGACAAATGTAAAAAAAAACATGTTCTAAATAGATCTGCAAAAGCAGAAACAAACCCTTCACAACTAATTCTAGAAATGATGGCCTTAGTCTCTCAGTGCTTCAATCTACAGGTACATCTTCCTTTTGATTATGAGACATGAGGCGTCTCAGTGCCTTTGTCTTGTGCCTCATAATATCCTTTTTTATTAGATCTGTGTATCACGGATGAGTGGATGCTTTAATTCTGCTTTGCTCACTGTAATGCCACAAGCTGTAAGGCACTAGTGAATCAGTCCTCTTGCTATTTGCTGTCTAAAACTGCAACTTCTGCCTCAGGTTTTATTGCAGTAATTTGGCAGTTTGCTGCTAACTTTGGAAAATGTAAATGCAGTCATATTGTTCTTTTAATTGTCTGAACTCTTTGTATTTTCAGGGAACATTCTTCTTTAATTAGAGCCCCATGTATTGTAAATATTTGCACATACAAACCCCAAAATCTTCTTTAACTGCTGCCAATACCCAGCAACTTAAAAATGGGGGGGAAATCAATAAAGCAGTAATTGAATTTAGGCAGGGAGTATCTGTCCTTTCAGCACCTTTTTTTTTTTTTTTTTTTCAGTTATACACCATTTTGGTGCAGGCTGGTAGCCCAGTATGTGCAAGGTCTCCCAAACACATAGCTTTTTTTTTTTTTTTAGAAAAAAAAAGTTAAATACAACAACTGACAAGTACAATGACAGGCATATACAAGTTTCTTCCTCCTGGATCTTTTTGGCATTTGTGGGTGAGGGAGTGGGTGAGGGCAAATAATAGTCTGTCTTCGTTCCTGGACAAAGCTGTATCTCAAGAATGCAGAAAGCACAGCTCCTTGCAACTTTTTGTTAAACACCAGCTGCAATAGCACTGGCAATAAGGAGCTCACAAATATCACCAATAGTGGTATCGCTTGTGGCCAAGTACAAAATAGACACATACAAAGAAAATACCAATTTAGAAAGAACTTACTTTCAGACAATCTCCGAATCTCATCTATTAAACTGATTTTCCTTTAAAAAGAAATTATTTTACTTTTTGTCATTGTGCTGAGGTATCAGTTTGCTTCAACAAAATAGCTCTAAAAAGTAGTAGGGCAGTTAGTGTAACTGCTGGTATGCCTTGTTGGGGGCAAATAACGTCATGCAGCAGAACCAACACTTGGAGAGAAAATGTTCCCAGCAGAGAAGAAATATCCTGAATATTTTTTATGTCTATTTAATTAGTCAAATAACATTATTATGTTAAAATTTATTTACTATTTATCTTGGATTTATCATTTATTGGAGACTTCACTGCACAGACTTGGTTTAAATGTATCCAATTTCAGTGGTATGAACTAGACCCAAGGAAGCTAGTGTTTTGCATATAATGTTTTTTTTCTATATGTACACATACATGTAATTTGCATGCTGTAGGCATTCAACACCTGATGACACAGTGCTCTGGAAGGCTGCATAAATACCCTTTGGAGGGATTCACCTTCACTTGCTACACTGCTACTTCTGTGTATATACCCTGCTGCAGTCCTAGACGTGTCAGTCAGTCCCTCTCTGGGACAAATGAACCATTCCAAGCATGTTTGGGTACAAATAGCTTAAAGTCAGCTTGGAAAACTGGCCATCTGGCTGGACAGAAGGACCTTTGAAGAAAATGTCTCCTCTGCAGAAGCCGATGCTCAGCGGCAAAGTCACAAGAATATGCAGATGGCAAATTATTTGGAATGATCAATAATGGCTCTTGTGAGCTGCAAGTGACAAAAGTATTTTCTGTGAGAAAAAAACAAGAGAGACATAGGCTAACAAAGGCTGATTTGAAACAGTAAGATTAGTTAGAGTAATAGGTAGTGGAAAACACTTAACTAGAGTGGAAATTGATGCAGAGAATGAGGTGGTATTTTAGAGATCTATATCATAACAAGGCTCAGTAAAGCCAAGTCAAGGAAATTCAGTTCTCAGAAAGATTAGAGCTAGATCATAATGTTCCAATTTTACCCAGAGAGGCAGAAACGGAATGAAGGGGGAGATATCTCCTAGATTGTAGAAATGAAGTGCTCACTGCAGTATGCCAGAGAGGCTTTAATCACTTGCTCCTGAGGTGCCCTTTGGTGGATTGAGACACCATCTATCTATGAAAAGTTGTTCATATTAGCTGAAGAGTGAACTCAATTCCAAGTATACGTGGGGTATTTGCATCTTTCTTTTCTTTCTCTGGAGAACTGGAGCCATGATTCCCCATATAATTTTCCAAATGTGATCAAAGTAGACTTAGCTGATGAATGAAGTCAACAAAATTGTTTGCATATATAAATTTATTTCAGTCCTGGCTTGGATTCAGACCTCTAATAATTGAAATATGTGAAACTTGGCTTGCCATTCCCACCTGCCAATCTAGTTTTCTCCCTGGTAGCATCAGAAATAAATTCTATGAACAAGCCTCCTGCTCTAAAGGATGAGCAAAGACAAATGCTTTGCTGTGTTGATGCTGTGAATTTTGTGTGCTGTTTTGGTCTGTATATTTCTTCCATGAGGGCCTACCCTGTTGCAGGCCACTCCTGAACCTTCCTTTGGGCCAGCTCATTCATTCCTTACAGGGCAAAACTCTTGAGGTTTCCCTTGCTGAAAAGTACCTTACAAAAATGTGTTGAACTGGTTTAAGATTTCTTTAAAATCAAAGAATTCTCCAGCTCTAATGGAAGAAAACAGCTGTTTAGTGGTCAGGGTGAACCACAAACCAGAGGGAAGAATTCCTCTCTATTACCCCCATGCACCCTACCAAGGAAAGATAAAAGGGGAATAAGAAAGAGACACTTAAAGGTTGGAAATTGAAGCTAGTAACTAAGAAAAACTGCAACTAAGAAAAAAGGAGTAACATGTGGAGTGAGAAATATACTTATAAACATATTTATAAACATACATATAAACTTATATACAAATATACACAGAACCGATCTTGCTGATCACTGGAATAGGTGGGTGAGAATCTCTTGTGTCAAGGCTGCCTCAGGGGAGGAGTCCACAGCTCTTCACACTACCCAGTAGAGTTGGATTATGGAGAGCACATGTTGAGCTGAAGAACCTCCAAGCAGCACTAGCAGCAAGGAAGCAAGGCATGGGAAAAAGGGGCTGAGTTTCCAGTTTTCCTGGCTTTTACAGAGTATGGCACGAAGTGGGAAGAAATACTGACCCTTTTCTGTTCCATCCCCCCCTGAGTCCTTTAAGGGTCCTAAAGACCTTCTCACTAGTGCCTCTTATAGGTGTCTACAACATGCCGGGTCCACTCAAACCTACAGAACTCCTCATATCCATTCTTTTTAGGACCTCCTGGCTGGCCCCTTGATTCCTGTAAAAGACGTGGCACGAACCCTGCCATGGCATTAATGTTGGGATGCTGCTTTTTTGGGTCTAAATCTCATATTTTCTGTGATTTGTGAGTATCCCTGCAAAACACTGAAGCTGAAATTCTTATGCTTCTTTAATAGTAAATTTTGTTACTATTTTTAAAAGTGTATAAATAAGCCTCTGGATGTTATTAAACTTTCTAAAAGAATAAACTTTCCATATCAATATGAAGCTGATAACATTTCTGAACAAGTTTGTTCTGAATTTGAGACTTGGCAAAAACATAGGTCTTGGTAAGGTCTGTCAATGTTTGTTTAGTCTGGAAATCTTTGGCATTGAAATAAACATTTCTTGCAGTAAGTGAGATGACAGGTTTCCATGTCTGCTGTCTCCTGAGATATTAATAGATTTGGTAAACTTAATGTCCATGAACAAATAGCCAATATCTTTAACAGTATCTTTGCTGGAGAGTGCCTGAGCCACACTGTGAGGTGTGAATAACAGCAGGGGCATATTGATTAGACATAAATGAAAACATCAGTGAGGCATGGGATCTGTCCTGCTGCTGTTACACAAGTATATGTCCCTTTACCTGCCTTCCCAGTCCATTTCTTCCATTCCCCTTGAGGTTAGGATTGCTGGTGGCATTCACCAGGGTTTATTCTTACTGCTCAACACTTACCTAGGGAAGGTTTCACTGCAGATACTTCTACTTCCACAGAAAACCAAAAAGGTGTTGTGCACCTAACATGCCGATTGGATGTAAGCTTAATTCAACACCAAGGTATATATTTTAAAATCCAGGATCTAGCCTTTTCTAAATCAAGGTATAATTTCTCTGCACTTGACTGTGAAGAGAATGCAAATGTACATTTGGCTTCCTTAAAAATAATTAAAAAAAAACAACTAAGCAAGAAGAGGCATCTGCCCACCAGAACAGAGTAGTTCCCCCACCCCTATTAAACTAAGTCATAGCAATAGTTTCAAAAGAGCATCAACTATAGCATTGATTAGAGATCAAAGAGCATCATCTGAAAGCTGCAAAACCACTGCTACACACACACTCTGTATAGAACAGCTCACATGATGCATTTTATCATTGCATGATAACACTATCTGTTAGTGGATGTACCTCAGTACCATGGCAACAGCATAACTGATGCAGTCAGAGTATATTCTGAGTTATCAATGTTTTTCTTTTTTGGTTTAGAAATATGATGGAGTATATACTTTTGATCTTCCTATCTACCTTCCTCTCAGTTTCCATGACATCTGAAACATGTAAGTCACATTTCAAAAATACTTTCTGATGAGATTTATCCTGTAGAAATATGTAGGCTGTTCCCAAATTGATAATTTTTTGAAGTTTAAAATTAGCTAGTTTATCTCAAGCCACAAATTGCATCTTAAAAACCAGCTTTATGTGTTTTGTCTGTATATTAAAATGCACTGACAGAATCTATTTCTGTGACGTTAAATCTAGGTTCTGCCTCAGCTTCTTGGGATCTCTGCAAGCAGATTTTTTTTTTAAAATTATTTTTATTTTTTTTTTTAAGCATTTGAGAGTAGCTGGTGTTTCAGGCCCCAACTGGGCAAAATCTCCATGAGCATGCTTAAATTCCACTTCAGAGGGCAACTGGGTGCTTTGCTCTTTAAAAATGCTTTTTAATGTCCTGATTTTGCGGGTATTGTCACACAAGTGTAACGTAACAACAACATTTCCTTGTACATGGAGGATTTTCAAAACAGTAAGCTCTTTCTGACAGGTCAGCTCTACTGACTCAGCTGAGCAGTGCTGACCAGTGGCAGAGCATTACAAAGTGCTTGGAAAGTTCTAGTCTCCAGCTGAGCTGCTTATTTTTCTGAAAAATATTGTAAGACATGATCCTGGAGTATTTCCCCATATTCTCACTTTTATGGTAGGAATGCTAAGTTTAAAAAAAATGTATTTATTAAGAGGCCAAATTTTGTGGAAGAATTTACCAAGATAATTTTCACTGATGTCACTGAGTTTATTTAAATGAGACCTCTAATCTTCTGTGTGTGCCCTGCCCTGCTATATTTTTTCCATGAAGAAAGCTGTATTTTCAAGATATTATGTTCAGTCTTTGGTGGGGCAAAGGCTGATCCCCCTGGTATGTCTCACTGTCTTTGCAAGGCTCATGGATGGAAGGGCTGTTAAACTGACAAGAGTTGTGGATGCTCACTCACACCTGATGCAGCTAATTTAGGTGTCTGAATTAGTAAGCAAGGTACATATAATGTTGGTGGAGATGGGTCCCTTCTTCAGAAAGAACCAGAGCAGAAGCCAAGGGCTCACCCTGTAAGGAGACTCACCACCTGAACTGTGTACCTACATGTCTGAAGCCAGGTGGTGGCAATACTCACCTAAAGTGTCATTTTTGGTAGAGATTTTCTGTTTTCTTTAGCTGTTAGGTTACCTGCTCTCATTTTTTTTTGCTCTGTTATCTACTGTAGGTCCTCTGCCAATCTCCATCTTTGTCCTATCCCCATCCATGCTTATTCTCTCATCTTTCTCTTCTCCAAGACGCAATTTAACTGTAGTATTTCTGTTTTCAACAGCCAGTTCACTATTCAGATGCCTGAGCAGTTAAGTATCTGTCAAAATTGCTAGATTAATGGTATAATCATAGAATGGTTTGAGTTGGAAAAGACATTAAAGACAATCTAGTTCCAACCCCCCTGCATGGGCAGGGACACCTCCCACTAGACCAGGTTGCTCAAAGGCCCATCCAATCTGGTCTGGAACACTTCCAGGGACGGGGCAGCCACAGCCTCCCTGGGCAACCAGTTCCAGTGTCTCACCACCCTCACACTAAAGAATTTCCTCCTAATGTCCAACCTAAATCTCCTTTCTTCCAGTTTTAATCCATTTCCCCTTGTCCCTTCACTACACACTCTTGTAAAAAGTCCCTCCCCAGCTTTCCTGCAGGTCCCTCAGGTACTGGAAAGCTGCTATGAGGTTTCCCTGGAGCCTTCTCTTCTCCAGGCTGAATATCCCCAACTCTCTCAGCCTGTCCTCCTAGGAGAGGTGCTCCAGCCCTCTGATCATCTTTGCGGCCTTCCTCTGGGCTTGTTGCATGAGCTCCATATCCTTCTTGTGTTTGGGGCTCCAGATCTGGACACAATATGCCGGGTGTGGTCTCATGAGAGCCAAGTAAAGGCGGAGAATCACCTCCCTGGCCCTTTTGGCTGTGCTTCTTTTGATGCAGCCCAGGACAGGGTTGGCTTTCTGAACTCCAAGCACACATTTCTGGCTCATGTGGAGCTTCTCATCCATGATTACTCCCAAGTTCTTCTTTCCCAGACTGTTTTCAATCCATTCTCTACCCGGCCTGTATTTGTACTTGGAATTACCTTGACCCTGGTGCAGGACCTTGCACTTTGCGTGGTTGAACTTCATGCAGTCTGCATGAGCCCAGTGTTTCTGGATGAGTGTCAGTACTTGAAATTAGACATATACTCAGTTAAATAAAATAAAAAAACTAGTGACTCACTCCCAACTCCTTCTTTTTTCTTTTGTGTGAATTTGTGTGGTTTGTCTTCCTATGCTTATTATTTGTCTTTCATTACTTTCTGGCATCTTTTCATCTTCCCATCAGATTCCTTCAGTCTGCTACTTTTGTGTTTTTTTATTTCTTCACATTTTTGTTAACTTCAGAAGGAAGCTGTTCTGGCTTCTGTCCTTTTTTTTTTTTTTTTTTTTTCTTTTTTTTTCTGATGATATTATCTACAGGCTTCCTCCTTCTACTATTTTTTTTTCTTCAGTGAAAAGAAAAAAATCTTGGTTTCCTTCCTCTATATTAAAAAGGCAGAGCAAGATCTCTATTTTGTTGTATAAATAAATCTTAAACTACACTGGAGTAAGGAAAGTTAACTTCATAGAATAACATTAAAGCCAGGGCTCTGTTTTGTGTTTAAATTCCTGTTTTGACTAAAGTCAGGATGTACAGTAAAGATTTGCATAAGAAGTTAATTTCAAGAAATTACTGTTTTTCAATTAAGCCCTCATATTTTTAGTCTATCTTTGGTTTGAATCTTGGGTTCTTTTTTTATTGTTCTGTCCCACACATTAATTACTATTTTTGCAAAAAAGTGGCTCCATAACTCAAGGTAAATGACTTTTTTTTTTTTTTTTTTAATTGAAAAAAAACACAACAGTGATAATAAGTTTGCTTTTAATTCATCTGAGAATTTTGTGTTTTGTTCATTTGCAGTTGATGCAATGGAAGGTGAGGCTTTAGTTATAAAATGTCCCCGATGGAGTTCATCTGTGAAAACCACCTGGTATTACACGGATACTAACAAAATAATTCCTTCAGAAGAGGAGGGATCAAGAATATTTTCCTTAAATCGATTTCTTTGGTTTCTGCCAACTTCTAGAGAGGATTCTGGAAACTACACTTGTGTTATACTTTTGTAAGTACAACACTGAAAAGTGAAAGGCATAAGACTAGAAAAAACCCACATGTTTTAATGATATCGTCTAATTATTATCTATGATATCTATTGATGCCAATTTTTCATGCTATACACCAATTTATATAATTTTTCATTCTACAATTGCTGTTTTATGACTGGCCACTACATTAAATCTGTCACTGAACTACTTTAACCATCCATATGTTTATAAAAAGCAAAACTCAGATTTGTTACAATTATTTAGTATAATCCTTATCAAAATACTAACATTGACATACTTTTATTCCATTTTAAAAGTTCAAATAATCACACGAAGTCATTCAACATGAGTGTGCAGGTGCATCCATACAAAAAAGGAGTGTGTTTCCCAAGTCAGATTCGTTATCCAAATGACACTGGAAGAGGAAAAATAGTTTGTCCTACAATTGACAATTATAAGAATGCCACTATCATCCAGTGGTATAAGGTAAATAAAACCCTAATCATGCCAGTTGTTGATCAGTTTACTGTGAGAAGCAATTTGGAGCCAAACAAAGTTTTCTTTTCCAGGACTGCAAACCTCTTCAGGGAGAGAGATACATCAAGGAAGAAAAATACATTTTTATTAACAAGCCAAGAAAGGAGGATGATGGTTATTATACTTGTCAGTTTATCTACACTCACAAAGGAAATGTGTTTAACGTATCAGCAACAAGAATTTTCATAAGTAAGGGTAAGACAGTCATTTTGCTTGCTAAACTGAGAAAAGATTAATATCTTAAAAGTAAAAGAAGTTTTGTTTGTACATTAAAGAAAAAAAGAGTTTCTTTGGTTTGTTTCCTCTTCTTAATGAAAAATTAGATCAGCTTTTTTTTTTTTCAGTGAATTTTATGGATGGGGATCCAAATGAAGACCTGGTCACAGAAAATGTGTCCAGTTTGCAATCAGTAAAAAATTAGTTATAAAGGTTTTTTTTTTTGTTTGTTTTTTTTTTTTTTTGGTGGGGGGGGGTGGGTTTGGGGAGGTTGAGGTAGGGGAGCTTTGTTTTCAGTTGTGTGTGGTTTGTTGTTTTTTTTTTAAAGATAGATAATACTCATTTGCAGACTGACTTCAGACCTTTTTGCTGTGGGAAGGCTTTGAGCGTAGGAGATTTAATTCCAGTTTTTGCTACTGTGTCCAGATCTCAGCAGATGAGTTTGTTCTGATTATTCTGAGATGGACAGCAGACAGTTTTGAGCTGAGACCTGTTACAGTGACACCTTAGGAGGTGTCGTGCCTTTCTTCTTCCTTGTCCCTGTAATACCCTGTTTGTCTACCTGACACTTTTCCGCCTAACAGGTTTTGTTTGAATGTACTTTCATAAAAACTTCTCTAACTAGTCAAAAATAATGTTGTGTCTCAGTCGTAATAAAAATTGCTGGGTTTTATTTGGCCCAAAGGCATAAAAATTTTCAAAAGTCTTTATTATGTCCAGGTAGATTACTTCTTTTAGAAGTTAATCTGACTTTCTTTTGAAATCATTGCAGAAATCAGTGATTGCAACCTCAAATGTGAAATCTGAGCTAGGTGTGTCAGGTCTGCTCCAGTTTTTATGAAATATAAAGTACTTAGTGGCAACTTATTTGAGTTTTTAACATCCCTTAAAATTAGTATGCTGATGTCCGGAGATGTTTTGTTTTGGTAATAGTTGTTTATGATGTTGCCTTGCAGATCCACACTGACCCATAGGACCTTATGTCTCTGAATGCTGGCAGTTAAGAACTCATCATAGTCAGCTAGCTAGGAACTTCTCTTCTCCTGACTTCTTTTTTAACATATCCAGCTAATGAAAATTAGAACCAGTTAGGATGGGTGAAGAGAATTGCTTTTCTGGCAGCCAAGGAACCAGAGGGTTAAACACAGATTGTTATTTTAGGAAAGTATGGTTATGGAATTTGCAGAGGTGCCTAGAGATGGAGAAACGTAATGAGGGAAAGGATACCAAGCAATGTGTTTAGTGTGGGAAGTACAAATCAGTGTAAAGGACAAGAAAAGAAGAAACATACATCAAGGGGAAAAATACCCTGAAGGATCTGAATGCGTCATTCAATTCAAGTGGCTGGATGTAGTTTGGACCTGTCCATAACAATTATTAGTGGGGACAGAAAATAAATATGTCAAAGAAAAAGTATCATTCCTTCTAGGAGGTAACGATAAGGGATGCTCAATGTCCTGGCAGACTGGTGTAAAGGGAAGCAGTTGTGTGCAGCAGTGATGTGCAGACAGCAGAGACAGGGTCTTGGGAACCAGATGTGTCCAGCTGTCAGGCTGCACAGTGGCAGTTAGCTGTGGGCTAGAGAGTCACCACTTCAGATACTGCTTAGAAGTACATATTAGCTATTTAATATCATGTATATGAATAATTTCTCAAGTGTCAGAAGGAATCCAGAAATATTTGGTTGCAGGAATAAAACCAGATATTTCCAAGAGACGTGTGAAACACTGTTGTAGTCTTAGTGTGCAATTCTGCTCTGGGATCTTAATATAATATTTAACTTAGAAAATGCATTTTCATGCTTTTCTAATACATACTTTATTTCCCTTCCTATAGCTAAAGAAAAACACTCACCTCTACAGCCTCAAATTTTATTTCCAAAGAATAAAGAAGTAATAGAAGTGGAGCTCGGTAAGTACAGACTTTAAATTGTTTATAAATTAACATTTTGTTATGGCTTAGTGAACACAGGGATCTTCAAGAGGATTTAATGATGGATTTTTTTTTTAATGGTTTCATATCACCATGTTTACCAGATTTAATTTATCTCAGGCACAGTGATGTGAAGTTCGATACAACTGATGGGTTATTTAGCATTAAGCAGCAATTTAAGGGGATTTAAATAACCCATTCTACCCTCTCTGGTATAGGCTGGGATTACTCATATAGTCAATTATTGTATCTTAGATGAAGGAGTGACAGCTTCCATCCACTTCAAAAATGCTTTAGCTAAATCCCTTGAAACTGCTTGATGGTACCCCTAAGAGAGAAGGATGGACTATTCTTGCAACTAGAAATACTGCTGGTTACTTGCAGTCTCAGTATGGAGACAATGGCTGTGCCTCTGTTCATGAAAGAAGGAGTGCAAGGGACTGGTCACTGGCCCTGAGGCCAAGGAGTAATGCCTGGCTCGTGTCCATGTTGGCTGGCTTTGAGCAGACCTGTGTGATTGGAAGGTACTGGAAGGACTGAAAGGACCAAGGAGTTGAAGGAGTGAACTTAGAAACAGCAGGTTGGAGAGCTTGTGATGAAGAACTTGCTCCCTGGATCCCTTTTATTTAGGACTGTAGATGCTCTCAGTGGCTCAGATTCACTCAGCATAACTTGCAGCATCAGAGCAAGGTGCTTGTGGTAGGAGTAAGAGCCGGCTGGGGCTTTTGTATTGTCAGTGGAGGAAGGCGGACCTCTCCAGAAAGTGACTGAGCCCATTTGAAACATAAACAGGTCTCCCAGGGCAGGTGAAGTGAATCTGGGCCACCAGGAGAAGGAACGTTAATTACCACTACACTGTTTCTGTCCTACAGCAAGACTGCTCTGGTAGAAGGAACTGCAGGAGCCCAGGGCCCTTTTTTAGGTGTCGTGTGCTCAGGGACTTGCCAAGTTGACTTGCATTCC